TCGCCGAGGGCGGCGGCGCCGCGACGTCGCGCCCACCGCGTACGCCAGCCGCCTCGTCGCCGCCCTGGGGACGCGACAAGTTCGACCCTGACGCCCGCCGACTACGTCAAAGCGCGTCCAGTGCTACAAGCGCCTGCAGCGCATCTGGGCCGACGCCGCCGTCCAGGCCTCCCACCCGGACGGCCTGCGCTGGGACCAGACCAACACGGTCCTCGTCGACGACTCGCTCGAGAAGGCCCGCAGCGAGCCCTTCAACCTGCTGCGCATCCCCGAGTTCTTCGGCGACGCCGACGAGGCCACCGACGTGCTGCCCCAGGTCCACGACTATATCAACGCTCTCTGTTACCAGGCCGACATCAGCCAGTACATGCGTCTCCATCCTTTTGGCCTTCGGGACGACTACACGCTCGAGCGTCCGCCTTCGGCGTAACGGCGAGGGGGTGGGAGGGGCGGCCGGCGGGTGCATTAGGCAGTCGCGCCAGCATGGGGCGCACCGCTGGTCTGGCGTTTGGCTTGAGACGTTTGACACCATTTTTGTGTTGCATTGATACCCACGGAACAAGAGGCATCGGGTTATAAAGGTGCGGAAACGGTCATAGGGCATGCTTGGCCTTACTGTCTTTTCATCAAGTACAATCCGCGTGGCCACATTGCGGAACGATAGTCCCTGACATTGACCTTGCTATGAAGCCTCTTCATAAGATAGCTGCGTTGAGTGCATGCAGAAGTATGCGCATCATGGTTCGGGAAGGTACAATCACAGCCAGAGATCGTCTTACCATCATCACAACACGCACGTGTCGAGCCAGCTTGATTCACTCATCATATTCATCTGCAGCTTGTTTACCGGGCACTTGCGGCTCTTTTAAAACCTCCGGGCCACACCGCACGCGGAATCCCTGGGGACCATGAATATCATCCACCCCGATCCGTTCCCAGTTCGTGACCTCATAACAATCCCTGCCATAAACCATCATCATCGCGCATCACGTTACTCCTTCCGCCCTGCAAGCGAGACGCTTATTTCAGGACCTTGCCGGCGGCGTGGGGGTACTCCTTGCCGTCAACGGTGACACCCTTCTCCCAGGACCACATGTTCTCGACGAACTCCTTGTCCTCGGGCTTCGTGGGGTCAAGCTTGGTGAACTCGTAGCTCTCGTAATCGGGAGCGACGTCGAAGACGGGCTTGAATTCCTGGCCGCGGACGACAAAGGCACCCTGGATGACCGAGGCGTTGGCCTCGCCGTAGACGGAAGCGCAGCCGAAAAGGTACTTGCGCGAACCCTCAAGACGGGCGTTGAAGCCACCGATGAGGTTGGCAGACATGAAAGTCATGGTGAGCTCATCGTTGTACTTGTAGTCGACCTTCCACAGAGAGTACTCCTCGAAGGAGATGTTCTCCCAGAACCACTTCAGGGCCTCGGGGGTCTCGAGGTTGGAGTACTGGCGCTTCCACTCGTCGATGGGGACGGTGGCGCGGGGGAGGGCCTCAAGAGGGTGCTTGGGCTTAGGGGCGGGCTCGTCCTCGGCAGCAGGAGCGGCAGCGGGGGCGGGCTTGGGGGCAGCGGGCTTGGGAGCCTCAGCCTTCTTGGGGGCGACGTTGGTCAGCTTGGGCTTCTCGAGGTACTCCTGCTTGCCAGCGACGGCGGTGTAGATGTCCTGGTTGACAATGGTGTCGAACCAACGGTAGGTGTTGGGGTTCTGCGAGCGCCACTCCTTGTCGAAGAAGAACTCGAAGCCGCGCGAGAGGATGCTGGCAGCGAAGATATCGGCAAGGGTGATGCGCTCGCCAACAAGGTAGGTGTTGTTCTGGAGGTGCTTCTCAATGGCACCAACGGCCTTGAGAGCAACCTTGGAGGAGTCCTCAACAGACTTCTTGTTGTAGGGGTCCCTTCCAAGAAGAGGGCGGAACCAGCCACCCAGAGGAGGGAGGACCTCGGAGTTGACGAAGGACATCCACCTCAGGATGGAAGCGTAGCTGCGATTCCAAGTCAGCACCAAGGCATCAAATGGCGGGATATACTGAGATGGGGAACATACTCCTGCTTGGTCTTGCCGAGGAGAGTGGTCTTCTCGTTCTGGGAAGTGACTATGATGGTGAGTTAGCCAACAACTCTCCGACAGATGCGTGCACAAAAAGTTTGTGAATGAGAAGGAGATCAGAAGTTAGAGCATATCCACACACGGTGATTCGGCCAGGGATAACTGATTGAATTGTCTAGGTCATCATTTCGCAAAGGGGGGAAGAGGGCGAAGAAAGAACGCAGCGTAGCAGAGACTGCAGCTGGTTCGTCTGAGTGTGACTCAGGGTATACGTACTGTAGATGGCGACAGCAATGGCCTCAGAGAGGGCGTAGCCATCCTCACCAAGGAAGGCGGGGATCTTGCCGAGGGGGTTGGCCGTGAGGTGCTCCTCGGTAGGCTTGGAGCCATCGGACTCAACGAGGTCGAGCTCGACGCCGTTGGCCTTGGCCACGACGAGGATGGCAGTGGTGCGGGGGTTGCCCTGAAAAGAAGAATGTGATCAGCTTTGGCACACAGGAAACAGCGAAAGCGACTGCGAGCATCCATTAAATGAAGCTGCTGCAATGCTTACCTGGTACGCGAAAAGCTTGCCGAACGCCATCTTGTGCTTATGGTATGCGCAGATGATGGAAGGAAGAGGGTTTGGAAAGGCAAAAGGTGAAGGTAGGAGAGAAAAAGTTCACAGCCCCTCTCCAGGTGTTCAACAAATTTCATCGAGGCGAAATTTCGCTCGGGGGGGAAGAGGAGGACAGTGCCCCGCCTGCTGCCCCGCTCGTGCCCAAAGTGGGAGCTCTACAGCAACGAGTCGTGGCGTAACGCACCTCATCTGTGGCTGGAGCTCATAGCACGTGACATGGGTCCCAGATCAAGCCACTCTCTCCCAAGAAAGATTTCCAGTTCGTGAGACGGGGGGGGGGGGTCTCGGGTCTTCAACACACCGCGACAACCACGACAGGCGTCAACAGCATCATGTCAGCTTTGCGTGCTGGGTCTCAGCACATGCGCTCCTTTCGTCAGCTTGCGCGGGCGCAGATTCCAAAGGCCCAATGGCAGCCATTGTCCTTCACCAAGGTCAACTCGAGACCGCTGACCACGGCTGGAGAGACGTCAAAGGTCGAAGCGGAAGCTACCAATGAAGCTGTCACCCAGCTGCAGAACGAAATCCAGGCCCTCGAGCTTAGCCAGGAGGCCTCCAGCTTCTCCAGCAAGGGACTTGTTCCACCACCCGAGATACCTCTTGATGGCGTCGTCCACGTTCGCGCCTTTCCCGCCTCACCTTCCTACTTCACTCGTCAACCTCGATTCAACGACGCTCTAGTAGAGCTCACGGCTCTCTTCGAAAGATACCGGAAGCTGCCGACCTTGCCGCCGGACGAAGTTCCCCCGCAACTATGGAAGACCTTGGGCGGCTACAGGCTGTACACGGGCGAGCCCGTCAAGGCGCTCCCGTACAGCAAGGTGCTCCACATGGTCAAGCGTCTGCATCAGATCCACCCGAAGATCATGCCAGGGGAGGTCAAGAAGGTCCTCGAGGGCTTCAAGCGCGACATCAACCCTTTCCTCAATGTTGCCAAGGAGATCAAGCTTGACGAGTTCGGCAGGGCGCATGGTGTCGGCCGCAGAAAAGAGTCCACGGCCCGTGCCTGGGTGGTTGAGGGGACAGGCGAGGTGCAGATCAATGGCAAACCGCTTAGCCAGGCGTTCTGTCGCATTCACGACCGCGAGAGCGTCGTTTGGGCGCTCAAGAGTACCGAAAGGATAGACAAGTATAATGTGTGGGCTCTCGTTGAGGGTGGTGGTACCACCGGACAGGCGGAAGCCTTGACACTGGCCATTTCCAAAGCTCTCATGGCTCATGAGCCAGCTCTGAAGCCGACTCTTCGCGCAGGTAAGCCTTGGTGCGGAAGTTCGGTCTCTTCCAATTTTCACTTGCTGACTATGATTCTCGCAGCTGGATGTATTACGAGAGACAAGAGGGTGGTGGAGAGGAAGAAACACGGCCACCTCAAGGCACGGAAGATGCCTGCCTGGGTCAAGCGTTAAGAGTCGACACCACGTCGAGGCCAGCATGTTCGACATCGGAATCGCAAAACACGCGTCAAGGGAAAGAGGGCGCGTCAAGACATCTCTGTATTATTTCTGTACAATCATGTCCTCGTATCATCAACATTTTGTGGCTGCAGATTCAAATGCGTGATACTTACAGGCGCCCAGCCGATGAGGTTTCGTTTTCCTGGACTGGGCTCTACGCAGAAGCGCCCTCAAAACACCGATGTGAGACTGGCCACTAACGTGTCATCTGGTGACAGGAATCACCCAACGACTAGTCGGTAGTTGGGCTCCTTTATGCATTAGGGTAATTGACGAAAAGAGTGAGCTACGCATCCCCTGCGAGATGGGTGCGACTTTCATTACGCAACCCGACGTACTCCTACCTTGTAGTGCCCTTCAAGCGATGTCGTTCGGATCATGGCATGAAGCCTTGTGCTCGAAACGCCTTGGTCCGGTTACAGATGCGGGCCGACCTTCGAGATGGATGGGTAGGAAATACCAAAAAAAAAAAAAAAAATAGGGGATAGGGAAAGCTTCTAGATGCTAAGTCCCTTCCATGGGTTGTAGTGTCAGAGCATCTGATATGAGCATCATCTTGGTACGGCATGACCGTAAGCCACAGCCGGGCGTTGGCTGTATCAGGCGAGTGTGATGATGACGAGGGAGCGTTATGATCACCTGTGGGCCATTACTCGCACAACAGGAAATGAGCAGACGTTCGTCGGTGAACGGGACCAGTTGAAGGCGAAATGAGGTGCCGGGCGCTTCCGACATCAGAGAAGTGTGACATTTGGCGCCGTTGGCTTCTGAGAGTGCCGACGGGTCTGCAACATGAAGGCTTCGCAACGTCCGAATGGGGTGAGAACTGCGAAAGCACAGACGATGACGGCAGATGAAAGCGTCCGTCCCTCTGTCCGCTACCTACCTAGGTTCGTCAAGCCAGTCTTGGGAGGCTTCTAGAAGCATGAAGGGG